AAGAAGAATGCATCATTATTTACATTATTCTTCATTGTAATATAGTGACATGGGAAGAAATAACTTCTTGAGAGTCTTGTTATAGGGACACAGATAAGAAATACCCTCATGTACCATAAGATGAGCAAATACAAAGTAAGAATAGTAACAGGACTAAGCTATTTTTAGATAAATTTGTTCTTACTGATCTGAGTGATGCTTTTTACCATTATGTTAATTATTTGAGGTTTGCCTACCCCTTCCCAAATTAGACAAATGTATATACAAAATGAAGTACAGTGAAAATAGGGGAGAACATACAAAAGAAATGAAATATATTCCATGGTATATTGAAAGTAACAAAGAAAAATACTGAAACAATGACAGGGATAACCCACTGGAATAATGATACCCGCAAGACACTTTAGTGAAAATGAACTTTACAACTTTGGGTTGGTGGGGGAGGAGGAGTGAGGCAGAAAAGAGATAGTGGGAGTACAACAAAGGAGTGGGTAACAATGCTCCACAAGAAAAGTATCCATTACCTTACTCATGTAACTGTAAACCCTCTGTACAGCAACATTACAATAAAATAAGAAAGTGAAAAAAAATTGTGGGTGATACATTAAATTATATTTTTGTGTATTTTGTGTGTGTGTGTGGTAAGGAGGGAGTTTTTCCTGGGATTTGAACTCAGAGCATTGCACTGTCTAAGTAAGGGCTCTAATACCTCAAACACACTTCCAGCCACGTTTTTGTTTTGTTTTTTTCCCATTAGTTTTCACATAAGGCTCACATTTTACCTTATGGTGCGTCTCAGGTTTCAAACCTCCTATCTTTGCGTGTTAGGCATGACTCCTTTTTAGGACTGTTGGTTGAGACGTATTCTTACCACTATTGGCCTCAAATTTCAGTCCTTCCTAGGTCAACTTCTTAGATAACTAAGATTATTGGCTTATCACACCAGGACAAGCCCTAATATCTACTTATTATGATTATGACTGAGATAACAATACACTCAGAAAAGACAATGTTTAGTCTGCTATGCTATTCACTGCAATTCACTAATATAGATAGATAGATAGATAGATAGATAGATAGATAGATAGATAGATAGATAGATAGATAGATAGATAGTTGTGGTATCTACTTTTAAGAAAGATGTTGAAATAGAGAAACTAAAAAGCGATGTGTATTTTAAAAAAATCTCAGGTTAACACAATTAAGAGTCTTGGCTTCTTTTATTGGCTTTCCCCAAATTCTTCAGTAGCATTCATTTTATTTTTAGAACTTTTAAAATATCCTATAAATAACTTTTAACATATCCTATAAATAAGTTTGGGTCAATATTACCCTTTCTTATTCTTGTTTTCATATATCTAGCTCCTTGCATTCAGGGATGGTAACTTATCTTCTGGATTGTCTATTGTACAAATTAGTGTAGTGAGCATGCTATTGGTGATAATTGACTGAAGATACAGCATCCTCTGGATTAACTCATATCTTACCTGGTAGTATATATGTTGAAATTGAATCTTAAGTCCAAAAAAATAACCCCACAACTCATTATTAACGACTCTTTTCATAGTTGATATTTTGGAGACTATAGGAGAATATTACATCTTAAACGATGTGAATGAAAGAGTTGTGACCTTTTTCCTAGTAGATTCTATCTGATCACAAAATCAACAAGATATATACATTAGTATATATAATACCGACAAATATGTACATAGTTTCTAACAGACATTCTAGAGAGAAAGGAGAGAATGGGAAAATCAAATATTCATGTAAACATGCTATGAAATAACTTGTGCTAGCTACATGGCTCTGGAATCCTGGCAATTAATTGTGAACAATTGTGTCAGCAGCAAGGCAAAGAACTTAAGCCAAGAAGTAAATCACATGTGAAATTAACTATAATATATTGTTGAATTTACTTTTTTCCCCTCCATAATGAGATGTTCTTGTTGAAGAACACAAGGATTTCATTTATGTGCTGGCACAAGCTCCTGATTGTGTTGTGAGCTAACATCTCAAACCACACTGCAATATAAACTAAATTACTTAACCTGCACAGAGACTATCCATGATCTATTAGAATTTCTCTTGCCACCTTCACATTGTTGATCTTGGTAATAACTACAAAAGGATGTGATTTACTGATGTATTTTTCTCCATTAGTGTACCTACTGTGCAAAAAGAGCCTAAAACATGATCATATATACAAGAAAATGTATGGTACAAGAATGTCAACAGAAAATTTAGAAAAACAAGGAACTCAAAGTTTTTTCTTTTATTTTTGTCAGTTGTTTGGCTTTAATCCTTGTCCTGGGTTCTATCGCTGAGCTATTCACCTCAAGACGAGTACTCTTCCACTGGAGACACAGCACCATTTCCTGGTTTATCCATTTATTTATTTATTTGGTGGTTAATTGGAGATGAAGTCTCACGGACTTTCCTGGCCAGGCTGGCTTTGAATCACAGTCCTCAGAACTCAGTCTTCTGAGTAGCTCAGATTACAGGTATGAGCACCACCACCTGGCTACAATTGAGAGTGTTATTTAATTGTTCATTAAAAATGGTCAATAAACTTAACATCCTAATACTCATATAAATCTGTATTAAAATTGCAGCAAATACCATTCTAACAAATTATGTTATCTCTATATATAAATATCCATAGTTTTAAATGCAAACAATAATAAAGAACACAAGAAACCCTGTTTACTGTCAAATTTGGAGAATATAAATAAAAACAAGAAATATGTACATCCTCCAATACAATGTTACCAACTTACCAACCTTTAGCCTTCTGCACCTTAGGTAAACTTTGGTGGCAGCACACAGTTTGACACATGTGTTAGCCAACTGATGATGTTATTTTTTAAATTCATTTCTGTAATTTTTCTTCCACATGTCCCTAAATTGGGTGTAAAAACCTGGAGGGCAAATACATATTTTATACTTTGTTGCCATTAATCTCCTCAGAATGTATCAAAGTACTTTCATATAATGTCTAGCTAAATTCATATTTATGAAAGACTTTGAAGGGTAATAATATTTTCCATTATTATAACTGGAGTTTAGGGAATTGATGAATATACAGTCTAAAAATGAGGACCATTGGTCTCTGCATGTGAAGCTTATTCTAGGAATGAGAAAATATGAAATACGGCCTATTATATACGTGGTTTGGGAAAAGGCAGGGCAGAAAGTGAAATTATGCAAACAAAAGTATAAAAGCCAAATCAAATAGGATAATTATGGAGCAATCATATTATCTAGGAGAACCTTGAAAGAGAGAGAGAGAGAAAGAGAAAGAGAGAGATGTACAATGAGCTAGCTAGCCACAAAATCCATGCCTCTGATAAATTTATAGGTCAAACAGAATTTTCTTTTTATAATAAGGATTTTTTAATGGAAATAGAATTGATGGATTTACTTAAAATTGCTAAATCGATTTTAGTTGACTTCATACAGAGACATAGTTTTCAACAAATTACAGACAAGAATATAAATCCTTCAAAATTCTAGTAACTGGTCTAACTGAAATCAGTTGAATCATAATTTTCTTACACAATGAACGAATAGCTCCAGGCTAGGAAAGCAGATAGAGAAGGAGGCCAATTGTATTTGTGACAAGACTGTGGAAAATGGTATCAAGGAGTACTGACTAGTGTTCCACTCACAATGGAATCATGACTCTAAACTATTGCTTGCTCATATTCTCCCTTTGATCATTATATTCTCCAAGACAAAAAAAGTGAGATTTAATTTACAGCAAATGACTAATATATTTTGACTTCTTACAAGCACCTTCAATCATCAAAATCACCTGAAGTCAATAGAGAGGCCTACCTGCTTTTAGATGAAAGGGAGCATCTCAACAACAACAAAAAAATCAGTTTATATAGCTACACAAAGGACTTCTAGCATTTCATTATACATTTTTTCTAGTGAAGATCTTCTCCCAATCTGTAGGCTTTCTATTGCTATTGCTACCTATGTCCTTTGCCATGCAGAGTAAATAATAGATCTATTAAAAAGCTCTAAAAGCTCAAATTTTCAATAGTGATTACTCATAATATCGTGGAATTTTTCTGTTTATTCTTAAGAAGGAATTTAAATTACTAACTCGAATTTCTGACAGGACAATATTATCATTGCTCATTGTGCTTCTATACTCAGCTTTAAATTACTATCTAAGTATGTTCATTAGATAAGTGTAGAGGAAAAACTAGAAGCCACACTTGTTGGGACCTGAGGGTAAAGCTCCAAGGTCATCTTGACCCTTGTGCTCACTTGAAGGCACATACAAGGAACTGGCTTTCATGAAAAACACCAGGTGCCCGGGTTTGCTTTGCTATGTGTGTAGAGTTTGTTTCACTTTCTATCAGTTGACCTTGTCTTGTTTCAATCTGCATCTTGTTTTTAGTAAAATTTTCCTTGCTTTTCTGCAGTATGGTGACCTTAGGTTACCTCTTGACTTCTAATAGTATATAATAAGGAGAGTTAAAAATAAATGGTGCTGTAGTCTTGAGCTGCAGACCTCCCGACCTCATACTTTGTCTTATGTCTTTATTTTTCCATCCTCATCCCCTAATTCAGGATTCCCTTTCGTTGCCGGCTGGTTATGGCAAGTGGCGCCCAAACATGGACCTGAAAACCTGGGATTAAGGTAGAGGACCCCGCTAAGGTAAGAGGACACGTCCGGAAAAAGAGAGCAGGTGATAGTATAGTCGGGAGTAAGAAATTATGGGGCAAGATAAGAGCCGCATGTTATATGTGCAGGCTCTCAAGGGTATGCTTCACGCTCAAGGAGTGAAAGTTAGACAGAGTCAGTTAGAATGTTTCTTTCACTTTGTTGATGAAGTATACACCTGGTTCCCGGAGGAAGGAACCATTAGTTTTAAAATTTAGAAAAAAAAAAATTGGAAAAAAGGATTCAGGGACACTATGATGCAAATGGCCTGTAAGTTAAAACATTGCTGCTTTGTAATTGTTTGATATCCGTGTAGCCTGCAGGTTCTGTATTGAGGTTGTCAAGAATCTTGGCAGACATGCTATAAGACAGCCAATTGGGCCAGTGGGAGACGTCCCCCGGATCCCCATCAGGGTAAACTATCCACCAGTGTGGACATTTGGGCCCGTCTGTAGTCCAGCACTTTCTGTCTGACAGTCTACACTGCACATGCTGTAAATATGTTTTTTCTCAATGTTTGTATGTATGTATTTTGGAATTCTTGGAATGTTTCTCTTCTCAGATTCATCCTGATGTGAGAAGTGGGAGGAAACTGGCTATCACCCCCTCAATATCTGGTTCTCTCTAGCCCCTTTCTATTCTTCACTGCCACCTCCTCCATCCTCTCTGGATCCAGAAGTAGGGGAGTGGAAGGGGGGGTGAAAAAACCTAGAGGATCTAACAATAACTTAAAAGGGCCAACAGCGAGAACTCGCAGCTGGATAAAACCGCCACTGACCACCTGCAAGTGACACCAGCAAGATCTTAGCCTCGGGCCTTGGCCCAGGAGATCTGAGTATAGGGGAGAACCTGTCAGTCTGAGGGGACGGCCACTAGGGACTTCTTTCCCTTGCCCCAAGATGACTGGGAATTCTCCTCCACCTTGGAAGCTCCTGGGTCAACATTTGCAGGTATCTAAAAGAAAAATCTTCCGGAGGTGAGTATAGGGGGTTCGAGTCCTCTAAAAGTGGATTTGAGTCCCACTTGTGAATGGTGGTGAGATGTTAACACATTCACTGAGACCTGATTTTGTCTTTGTGGCCACTTGTCTGTCTTGTTTACTTCGGTGTGTTTTCTCTTATGTTTTCTGAAGTAGGGATAAACTGGGGGCCCACTCAGACTTTGGTTGTTGTCTTGTCTAATTCTGTTTTAGAATTGGTACCAGCTTTAAATATATGTACAACTGATTTTGATTTTTGTGCGCTTTAAGATCTGTGTGTGTTTTGTATGTGTTTGTGAACATGTTCAAGATAAAAATTATCAGCATGCTGTAACAATTGGGTGAGTTTAAGTTTAAAATTCAAAAGGTTATGAGGTTTGGACATTACCAAAAATTTTTAAGAATTTTCACATTGTTTTAAATGACATTTTAAGGATTCTTTAACTTAGAAAATTAAAAAATCTAGTATTCTAAAATGCATAATGCTGTTTACACTGTAAACAAGTTATCTGGCTTAACAAAAATGCATTGGCAGTTTGGAATTTATTTCTCTTGGCTAAAATTTGGGGATAAATATTAAAGTTTAAATATAATAGTTTGTTTAACAATGTCAAAGACATTACCTGTTCTGTCTGTCTAAAACTATGTATTTTCATTCAAAAACCAAGAGATAAAAAGGAAAAAATTAAAAGCCAATAAAAGATCTATCTTTAGGGGTAATGGGTAAACAGGCAAAAGTGCAGTTCAGCTGGTCATACATGGTGGGATGGGCCATCATAGGAGTCCACGCATGGTGAAAGAGGACAAGCTGGCACAAACGCAGTTCATCTAAAGAGTGAGATTAGGTGAATGTCCATTCCACAGGAGGGGCCAAGTGGCCCAGCTTTGTTCTGTCCTTTTTCTCTACAGATAAATACTAGAAACATGATAGTAAAAATTAGTGATGTGATGGTCTGATTAATATTGCTAAAACTGCCCCTTGGGCTTAAAAGGAGGGTTAAAAAAATGTTTTCTGTATAATGTGACTTGCTTTCAATGATGTTCTACAATTAGGATGTTTTTAAAAGTCATCAATGTGTTAAGTTTAACTTCTTGGTACAGTGATGGTGATTGTAATTCTTACATTAAGAAAAAAATTGTCATTTGAGTTTAAAAGTTTGAATGTATATCTGTTTTAAAACAAGCTGCCAAGAGACAATGAGTGACACTTGGCCTCAAGATTTTAAGGGATTTTTTTTAATGTAACTAAAAACTAAAATATAAAATAATAAAAGAGATTAATAGGAGGCTTAAAAAATAGGAATGGATTTTTGGATATAAAGTTTAAAAGTAAAATTGTTCTTAACATTTGCCTCAAAGTGAAAAAATTAGGATTACCAAAATAATTGCTTAATTGCTATTCCAGTTTGCTCTTATAGGTTTTTTTTTAAGTTTCCAGCAAGCCAAAAGCAAAGTACAGAGGATTCTTATAAGCTTGTAAGATGTAACTTTGGCTCTTAACAAGTTTCAGGTAAGAGCATGCTTAAAAGCTACTTCTGTGTTGACCACTTTGTTGCTTTTAATTGGAGTAAAGTGGCCTTTTATAAGACTCATTGATCTGCAAACTAGTTCAAAGCAAGCCCGGGCAGAAAAAGGTCCCTACGAGACTGTCACCTCTACTCAGCCAGAAGAGTGCTGAAAGAGCAAGCAGTGTTGCTTTGGGACTCATAGTGGCAGAGTGCTAGCCTTGAGCTGTAGAGCTGAGGGACAGCCTCAGGCCCGAGTTCAAGTCCAATGAACAGCTAAGGGAAATGCAAATGAGGCATTTATCTCAGTGTAGAGAAAATACTCCTGGGACAAGAGCAATGGAGGAGCATCCAGAGGCAGTAAGCCACTGCTTGGATGAAAAAAATATCAGATCCTAGAGTCATGTGTGTGGCCATTCAAAAATTGGTCAGAGCCAGGAGGTCATGGGAAGATAGTTTGTAAGCATGCCTAATTTCCATGACTATCTACTTCCTGGGGACAGAAACTTGTAATAGTACTAAAAAGCTAAAGTTATAAAATATGGGGGATGGTTTAAATCCCAACCCCTGTATGTGCCAAAAGCCCTAATTGGCAAAAACTTTTGAGCTAACACCAGCTACATAAAATTTATCTGCTCAAAAAAAAAAAAAAAAAAAGGGTTTGTAAACCTGAGAGTGTGTTTTTGTGTTTTTGTTAACATCTGTCTAAAGACCTGCACAGGTGACTTAGATATTGTTAGGGTCACTGGAGGTCACATTCCTAAAGATGCTTTTACAAACCAAAGTGCTAAACAAAGCTACATTGCTGTAGCTGGAAAAAAAAGTCTGTACATTGTAAAAAGTTAAAATATTGTTCTTAATGACATCTAACCCTGGTAACCTCTTTGTAAAATAGACTAAGGTTAGAGGTTCCTGGCTAGGTAGGATCAACACTTCTGAGTCAGCTTGAAGAAGTTACAGAAGATGAATCTACACCCATCATCCCCTATTTAGAACAAAGGACCAGAGTCATAAAATAAAAGTGACAAAATAGACAAAAGAAAACGATATGGAAAATAGTAGTACAGGCCTGAGCCCTCTATAGCTGCCTTAAAAATCAGCCTTATTAAAAGCACTATCTAGTTAAAAAAGTTGTCATCTTAGTAAATTGTCCTGTGGGGCCACAGTCTGCCAAGCCTATGTATTACTTGTATCCTTAACCAGTCTGTGTAGAAATTTATAGCCCAGCAAGAGCTATAACAGTCCCTTGGAGCCACTGGGGGATCCTGCTACTGCTGCTGCTACAGCCTGACAGTCACCTGGAGAAAATCTACATCGTTACCCTGACCACCTCCACCGTGGAAAAAGTAGACTAAACTCCTGCCTGATTCCATCTTTTGGATGGCTTCGCTTTGTCCATGTTACCATATACCTACTCTAATTTTATTATGGCTACTCCTCTTGCCGGAGAGACTAGCAAGCATTGTATTGAACATTCCCTACACTGCTTTGCCACTATGGGATTTCCTAAACATAGTAAAACTGATAATGGTCCGGGATATGTCGGACAAGCTTTTCAAACTTTTTGTAAATCTTACCAGATTTTTCACTCTACAGGTATTCCCTATATTCCTCAAGGACAAAAATTTGTTAAACAACTTTTACATGCTGTCAACCAGGCCCAGGGTAATACTACCAGGACCTGGCCATGTGGGAATTGCCAATCCAGTGAGAGTCATAGTCTGACCTCAACTATTTCTCAAGCCCCTTTGACATCTGCTTGAGTGTCCCTTGCCAAAATAGAATAATGGACAATGAGTCATCACTTTGAATATTTCTGCAAACCATTGTCTGCAATTATATTGCATACTACAAATCACCTTGATTATAGTACAAAACTGCTCTCCACTGCCCAAAATATAAACTTATTCTTTCTTACAGAGCACTGAAGTTAAAGAAACTTAAAAATTCAGTATTATTAATAGGAGAGCATCCAAACCATATGTATTCCCTGGTGTGCTGCATACGTACAACATTACATGTGAAGAACTCTTAACAAGAACACACAACACATTGAAGCTAGCCTAGGGAGCGGGGGAGTTGAATTAGATCACAAGAAAGTACTGACAAATATCCAGATAAGCGAGGGTCTACAAAATAACTGGCCTACTCTCATCTAATAGTGTGAGATGGGGGGGGGGGGAACTGAGAAGTGGTGCGATCTATGTCACATTAAAAGAGATTAGAAACACCAAATGCAATGTATGAACTTGAAATAATCCTGGTGGAGGAAATAAAACATATAAAAATGCTTTGGGAATAATTGGGGAACTTAGAATGTAATTATCATCTAATACTCAAGCAATTCTGTTAACGCAGCTAGAGGTGATTATACTGAAGAATGTTCTTAGCTACAGAAGATGCATACACCCAAATGATTAGCAAAATATTAACAATTGCTAACTTGAAAAAGTTAGTGCAACCATTTCAACAATTGTGTATGTTTGAGGTGTTCGTAATAAAGGTGTTTTGAAATGTTAAAAAAAAAAAAAAATTTGTTAAACAAGCCAACGGACTGTTAAAACACCAAAATTTTAAATTAAAAGGGGGAATTATACCCCTTCTCTCCTGTTAATATTTTTCTCATGCTTTAATTTGTTTAAGTTTAGATTATAATGGCCTTTCCACTGCATTGCGGTTTTGGAAAAAAAGAAAAAGAAAAAAAAAAGAGAGAACAAAGAGCTTTTGCCCAAGTTAAGTGGAAGGATCCTTTAACAGGTGATTGGCATGGGCCCAATCCAGTTTTAACGTGGTCGAGGACACGTTTGTGTTTTTTTGCAGGAAAAAAATAAATCCCACTGGTTGACTGAACATTTCATTAGGATTGTGGAGGCTCATTCAGATGACACAAACGCTGACACATTGGGCTTACATGCTGGATCCCCCGATTGTGCACCCTACAACTTGGGAGGGAGTTGAGTACTCATTCATATCAATAGATCAGCTTATGG